TATATATATATCTATATATAATATATATATATATATATTATATTATATATATATATATATATAATATATATATAATATATATATAATATATATATATATATAATATATTATATATATACACACACACACACACACACACACACACACACATATATATATTATATTATATAATATATATAATATATATATATATATATAATATATATTATATATATATATATAATATTATACTATATATTATATATATATACATACACACACACACACCACACACACACACACACACATATTATATATATATATATATATATATATATATATCATATATATACAACTATATATGTATACATTCCCTTCCCTAATTCAATACACACACACCCCACACAACAAAGCCGAGAAACTCCACACCGTCCCCCACACCCACACCCCCTCGCACACACACCTCCCCCTCCCTGCTCTCTCTCTCCAGCGCCCCCTGACTAAGCCCTCCTCCTCCTGCCGCCCCTACAGCGCCTCCGCCGGCTGGACGTGGCTTACCTGAGGTCAGTGGGGCCGGGAACCATCATGAAGCTGATCCCGAACCTCACACACATCGTGGTTCTGAACCTCAGCATGACAGAGACCATCGATCAGGTACGTGGAAGGGGGGTGTTTGGGGAGGGTTGGGGGTTGGGGGAGAAGGGAGGTATTGGGGAAGATTGGGGATTGGGGGAGGAGAGGAGAGGGTGGGGATTGGGGGAAGGGAGGGAAGAGGAGGAGGAGAGGGAGGGATTGGGGGAGGAGGGGGGCGGGAGTGGGGGAAGGAGAGGTAGGGATTGGTGGAGTTGTGGGAGGAGCGGGGGAAGATTGGGGGATTGGGGGAGGGATTGGTGGGAGGAGGGGAGTGATGGGGGATTGGGGAAGGTTGATGAGGGGTTGGGGAAGGAGGGGAAGGGATTGGGGTAAGGAGGGTGAAGGATTAGGGAAGAGGGAAGGAAGGTAAATGAATTAGGATCTGGGATTAGGGATAAGGGAAGGAGGGGGAAGGATTAGGTGTGAAGGGTGAGGGAATAGGGACGAGAGATTAGGGATTATAGGGATGAAGAGTGAGGGATTAGGGACGATAGAAAGAAAAATATTATTATTAGTTGTAATAAATTGGAAAGAAAGAAGATAAATATTATGAAGGGATTAGTAAATAAATTAGTTGTAGGAAATCATTATAAGGGTATTAGCAATTTAAACATTAATAACGGATTAATGAGGTATGGTTATATTACTGAAAATAAACATAATTAAACAGATCAAACCAAGTTAAAATAAATAATATTATCGATTTAATGATAATGTTGATGATGATATATTAATGATAAATAGTTGTAGCAATGATTATGATATACTAGTAGTAGTAGTAGTAGTAGATCATTATCATTATTATCATTATTATTATCATCATTATCATTATCATTGTTGTTATTATTGTTATTGACATTGTTCTTGCAAAGACAATAATGATACTATTATCAACCCCCTCCCCTTCCCCCTAACCCTATTCTCCTCTTCCTCTTTCTTCCCCTTCTTAACTTCATCTTCCTCCTCCTTCCTCCCCCCCCTCCATACCTCCCTCCTCCTCCCCTTCCTCAACTCTTCCTTCCTCCTCCCCATCTTAATCCCCCCCCCTTCCAAACCCCTTCCTCCTCCCCCTCCATACCTCCCTCCTCCTCCCCTTCCTCAACTCCTCCTTCTTCCTCCCCATCTTAATCCCCGCCCCCTTCCAAACCCCTTCCTCCTCCCCTCCTTACCTCCTCCTCTCCCCCTTCTTAACTCCCTCCCTCCTCCCCTTCCCCCTTCCTCCCCCACTTAACCCCCCTCCCCACTTAAACCCCATCTCCTCCCCACCCTTCCCCACCCCTCCTTTTCCTCCCCAACTCCCCCCAACCACCCCACCCACCCTCCCTCCTCCCATCCCCTTCCTTTTCCCCCCCACCCCCTCCTATCCCCCACCTCCTCCTTTTCCCCCCTCCCCCACCCCTCCTATTCCTCCCCAACCCTCAACCAGGTCCTGGAGCTCATCGGCCTGAACTGCCCCGAGATCCGCGAGCTGGACGTCTCCCACACGGCGATCTCCGAGCGCGGCCTGCCTCGCCTCTGCTACGACGAGGCCACGGAAAGGCCCCTCTGCCAGAAGCTCACCAAGATCTGCGTCCTGGGCTGCGTTCATCACCCCGCGGCCGGTGAGCTTCCTGCTGCAGTACATCCCGACGCTGAGGGAGATGGACTACGATAATGTGTTCCAGGTGAGGTGGGGTTGGGGGTGTGGGGGTGGTGGGGGTGGGTTGGGGGGTTCCCTCTGCCAGAAGCTCACCAAGATCTGCGTCCTGGGCTGCGTCATCACCCCGCGGCCGGTGAGCTTCCTGCTGCAGTACATCCCGACGCTGAGGGAGATGGACTACGATAATGTGTTCCAGGTGAGGGGGGTTGGGGGTGGTGGGGTGGTGGGGGTGGGTTGGGGGGTTCCCTC